ACCTCCAGGCCTGGCTCCAGAGGGGGGCCCCGGTGACCCGCGTCCGGGCGAGGGAACGCCATATCCAATGTATTCATCATAAGGGATCTTCGGGCTGCGCTTTGTCTGGTTCCTCACCTAGGACCTGTCTGCCATGGGTGACCCTACCAGGGGCATAAAGCCCCAGACAGCATAGCTACTAGGATCATTGGGACACTCAAACCCCTCCACCACGATAAGGTAGCAGCCCAAGGAGAGGCACTAAGGTTAATATTAGAGAAAATGACATGGGCTACGATGAAGTAGACCGGACGCCGGCGGTAGCAGATTGTTGCGTTCCAACATATATGGCACTGGTAATCCACTAGGGGGCAATGTTGGGACAGTCTGAAGATATTCTACGGGACTGATAACTGCTATTAACGTCCATTTAATGGACTGATAACATCCKAACGGTCTGTTGTCTTACAACACTCTCATTCAACATATGTACATAACTGAGTGAGTCATATATATACACAACAGTTCTGCTGTGTTGACTCAAAATATTATTTTAAAGGAACAGTAAAACACTTTACTATGTCCCATTTGACAACCCCACCCGGTACATTCCTGCAGTGGTTCCATGTAAACGGGTGATTTTTTTCTGTATTCACCCCAGTAAACATTAGCATTTTCAGAGACTGGTCTCGTGTAAACAAGGGCTAAGTGACTTTTACATTTTACTTTTTTGAGTGGATTTTAACACAGCTATTTATACTTGTATTTAAATAAAATTTTGACTGTGTAAGTGTACTTTTACTTGAGCATGTTATTTCAGTACTTTTTCCACCTCGGCCTAGAATCATCCAGGCACAAAAACTCCACAACAAAAAGGTGATGATTCAGTTCCATTCATGTTTCATGTTTTTTATCATTTTTATTATTATCATTTTTACTGTTTTATTCATTATTCTGTTGTTTTTATACTTTTTCTGTTATAAGTTTTCAAAAGACATTTGCTTTCCTCCTCACTGAATGAATGTTAATTATTTGTGGTAAAAAGAGTTCCCTGTAATTATACAAGTTCTCACTTCATCTGTTCTGAGTCTGATTTTTTAAAGGGTGAATAAAGTAAATATTGATCAGTAAAACTGATATAAATCCCTTTTATTTAACAAGAGCTRAACTAAGTGTAGCAGAGTGGATAAAACATTATCACCCTTCTGTCTCCCCACTTATGTTACAGGGTAAATATTACATTTTGCTGATGGAATATAAGGCATTGAATTGTTGTTTTATGTGTTACAGTTATGGCTCCAAAGACGTCAGCTTTGATGTTGGCCTGGTTGGTTCTTCTCTGGGTGAATTTCTCTCTATCCTCGCAATCTTCCAGCCTCGCACTCAACCGGGTCAAGAAGGACATGGTTCCTGAGAGCAGAATGAAAAAAGAGAGAGCTCTTAACATTGCAAAAGAGTCTCTATCTCTTCTGACTGACATAGTGAAAGACACTGACACTAAGATTTTGAAAGATGTGATGAGGGCCATCTCAGAAATTGCGAAACTGGCACCAGTACATGGTGCTGTGATCTCCTGTTTTATCAACGTGTTGCTGATCTTCATTCCAGAGGAAGATCCTGTGATGCAAGAGATAAAGAAAGGCTTTGCGGAGGTGAACAGGAAGCTGGACTCTATTTCCATCCAGATCTCCAAACTGGAAGCAGATGTGGAATGGTTCAACTACGTCAGTGTTTACTCCAGAGATGAGCGCATCATCCTCAATGCCTGGATGAAGTACCAGGAGTTTAAAGTCAGCGACTCGTCGCGAACTGAGGAGGAAAACATACGTCTGGCTGAATTATACATCCGCTACTATGAGAACTCAGGTGTTGAGTCCAGTGTGTCCAACCTGTACCATTACCTGACTGTCCGGAGCACATCTTTGAGTGAAAACATCAACAACCTGCTGAGAAAAAAGTTCAGATGCGACATCAACCAGATCGGCAGGTATAACATTTACCTCAGCAGCTTGTTGTGGAAGGGAATGATCCTTAAACAGTTCTACTGGACACTGATTGATCTCAACTCAGCAGCCAAAGAAGCTGAACACGTGAAAATGTTCAAGGAGGTTTCTAAAGCTCAGTTATCAGCCATGCAGTTCTGTCTGGACAACCACACACAGTACATGAAGATGGATGTGGAGGAGATCGCCAAACAATTCAGTTCTGATCAAAAAACTGACATCGCTGTTCAGGTGAAGAAAGCACTGGACGAAAAGTACAACTGGTACAACTGGGTGGTGGTGGTATTTGATAAAGGCCAGAAAAAAAAATCACATGTTGTTTACAGAGTTCAACTTCACCATTGGCAGCAACATTGTAGGCGTAGATTACACCGTTAAATCTGACATGATTCATGAAGAACAAGTTAGAACTACAGCAAACGTTTGTTTTAATGATAAATGTGAAATTAATATTAAAATGAAGACATGTAAAAAAGAGTGGGATTACAGAGGAGATACAATTCCTATACCTTTAGGAAAATATGTTGTGGTGACACAGGTTGCCTATAAACAGGATTTTGCTGAAGTCCCAGATCCTTTTCATAAAACCTGGTGCTCTTGGGACGGCTATACAAGTGAAATTTCAGTTCATTATTCCAGGTACATAGACGTCTGCACTATCAATATGTGTAAGAACAATGGGAGGTGCAAGAAGCTGCTCAAGTCCAATGAATGGCTGTGTGAGTGTCAGGATGGTTATTATGGAGACACATGTGAAAAGAAGCTAAATGACTCATTAGCTCAGCAGTTAAAATTGGCCTTTCCTTTGCCTGCCAACATGAAGTTTTCAAGCGCTAAGTCACAATCAGAATTTGTGATGGACATTCTGCTGAAAGTAGGCACACCTCTTGTTGCTTGTGTTCTYATTGGTTGCTTCATTTTGGCTCTGAAAACCCTGAAGAAACCTTCTAAATGTTGCTCATGCTGCAAACCAGAGCCTGTGGCTACAAATTCCAACATGGTTGCAAACATCAGGCCTCTGTATGTAGAAACAGTTACAGAAATGTGTCACTTTCAGGTAAAACGTGAGACAAGATCACAGGAAAACAGGTTGATGGGTGGATATTAGTCAAATCACAGCAGAATAACTTTTGGCAGGTAACTGTGGCTCATTAACTGGTTCTTTTGTACAGCTGAGAGAGAGAGAGAGAGAGAGAGAGAGAGAGAGAAAGAGAGAGAGAGAGAGAATCTAAGACAAAAAAAGGTGTAGTGAATACGCCCATTTCCTCTCACCTCATCTTGCCACTGATTGACCTTTGACCACCTGAGGTCAAAGCCCTCTCCTCCTAAACTGAACTCTTTCAGCTCTCATGTAGAGCTATCAAAAATAAGCCTTTCACTCTYTTCTTTCCCTTGGGAAAGGATCTTGTTCTCAAGAGATTTGTTATTTTGCTGATCAAGTCAA